ACACCAATCAAGATGGTAAACTTTATTATCATTTAGTGGTCTTTATTGGCTAGGTTGCTGAATTTGGTTCATTTACCCAATTTGGTTCATTTACCCAATTTGGTTCAAATACCCAATTTTGTTCATTTACCCAATTTGGTTTATTTACCCAATTTGGTTCATTGCCTAATTTTGTTCATTTACCAAATTTGGTTTATTTACACAATTTGGTACATTTACCCAATATAATTCATTTAACCAGTTTGGTTAATTACCCAATTTGGTTCATTTAATCAATTTAGTTCATTTACCCAATTTGGTTCATTTACCCAATTTGGTTCATTGCCTAATTTGGTTCATTTACCCAATTTGGTTTATTTACACAATTTGGTACATTTACCCAATTTAATTCATTTAACCAGTTAGGTTAATTACCCAATTTGGTTCATTTACCCAATTTGGTTCATTGCCTAATTTGGTTCATTTACCCAATTTGGTTTATTTACACAATTTGGTACATTTACCCAACTTGGTTCATTTACCCAATTTGGTTCATTTACCAAATTTGGTTCATTTAGCCACTTTGATCCATTTACCCAATTTGGTTCATTTACCAAATTAGACTGTGGATTCTTTTTTGATCTGAAACTTTACAGGTTGGCATTGCCTGAAATAGTGCAAGGAGAGGCACAGGAGGGGTGTATTCCATCAGTTAAGCTGGAAAGCAATTGTAGCTGTATGACTAAAAGTGTCAATTTCAACAATTTCAATTTAAAGCAGCCCCAAGCAAATTGAATTGTTTCTTCCCTTTTGCCACTAATAAGTTTGGAATCAAACCAAGGACTTTTGATTCATTTTGTAAGGGCAAACTATAGTTTCATGCTCAAGGAAACAATGGCTTGCCCCAAATGGGGTTTGAACCCAGTCAGCTAGCAATCCTTAGATTACATTATGTTGAAAAAGGGGCTGGTACTCTTAGGTGGGGATATATATGTAATAGTACCAGCCACAAAAGGAATGCAAACAAAATTTATCAAAAGAAGCCAGGTGGCTTATAAACATGTTGCATGGGATATGCACAACCCCAGTTTTTTTTATAAACCAGGTTTTTCGGAGGAAAAAAACTGGTTATTAGATTGACGTAAGTTGGTAGGCGGATGGGTGGGTGGACTGACGGTCGTTAACAATTTCTTCCATGCACTACTCCTTCTACATTTCTCAAAGGATTTTGATGAAACTTTCACAGAAGCTTTGTCACAAAGTTATACTGTACATGGCTTGTATTTATATTCCAATGACAACAAAACTTTCAACAGGAGTGATAATTGAAAACAATAAAATCTGATTATTTTTCAGGTGTTATTGATGCCAGCGAGATCAAAGCTTCCTTTGAGAATATGGGTGTCAGTGTGTCCAGTGCCGAAGCTGAAAACCTCCTGAAAAGGTGAGAACATGATATTTTATCACAACATCGTCAGGTTAAATGTTGCTTTAACTCCAGAGTATTTTTATGAAATACAATGTATAGGGAGTTGCAAGATCTGCGATAAAAAATTATCTTGTAAATGATGATTACTTTTTAATTGGTGAGTGAACTAAAGCCGAACAGACTGACATGTTATCACTTTAGTGCAGTAATGGGTTTACTGCCTATTAAAATTAATTTGAGTTAACCTGTTACTGCACTAAAGTGATGATTTTTTTTCCACAAAGTTAAAGCCTTGTTTATTAGTTAAAAGAGAACAGATTATTATAATTGTGAACATTTTACTTGTGTGGATGAGATGTGCATGCAGCACATGTTTGCCCAATAATTTAGTGTTGAATTTATTTGAGCCGCATCACGACAAAACCAACATAATGGGTTTGCGACCAGCATGGATCCAGACCAGATCGTGACATGGCTCATTTCATAAGAGTTCCTTAAACTATTGTATCATTGAGAATTTGTGTTGCCCTTTGTTAGGAATTTAATATCAAGGGTAGTATTTTGTAAGAGACTAGCTTTTTCTCTGGCTAATTAACTAGCAGCTACATAAACAATTGTTCATAGCCAGGGATAGTGCTCAGTGGGTTCAGTGTAATCTTACATATACTGGCACTGACTGGTGTCTTTCTGCTCCCACTTCTTTAAAGTGGGGAGGTGGGGTATAAATATTTGCCCTTTTCTGTTTGTCCATCTTGCTGTCATGTTATCACACTGTCTCCCCAATTATTGACAATTCTACAACAAAATATTAGTTCCTATGAAGCCTACTTGGTCTAGTAGAGACTTCGGAAGTAGTTCAAAACTAGGTGAACAAACTTGTTGCTTTTCAGGTAATTCTGGAGTTTGAAAGCTATAAAAGCATTATGTATTACAGTAGAATAGTAAATAATTTTAAAGTCATATGTTTATAAATGAATTTGTTACTGAAGAATGGACAGAGATGGCACTTTAGCGATAGACTATGGGGAGTGGAGAGATTTTCTGATATTGTCGCCTAGCAACAACCTCCATGATATTCTCCATTACTGGAGACACTCTACAGTATGTATATAGCTTTGTTTATGGTTTAATATATCTATTATGTAAAAAAAATATTACTTTTGTATTGAATGATATTTAACTGAATCTGACACCTAGCAATTAGTGTTTATGACTTTGTGATTTCTTGTCCCTTGTTACTATGTGTCGACCTCGTCGCTGTGGGCTCGAATCCTGACAGGAACTTTGGATTCTTTCATGTGAGGAAGCTATCCCATTTTTGGCCTGAAATAATGCATGGAAGGGTACCAGAAGTCTTCCTCCCCCAGTAAAGCTGGAAAGTAGCCATATGACCTATTCTGTGTTGATGCGATGTAAAACCCAATCAAATTATTATCGAATTTTGCAAATGGTGTTCAGTTCTTTCATTGATGGTTGATGGGTCTACACAGTTGCAAGTTCAGAATGTGCATTTTAGGTCTGCAGGCACCAGTAACATTACTTAATGCCTTAATTATAACCTTGATTAAATGATGATGTGTCAGAAACTTAATAAAACATTGTACATCAGTATTATTCAAGCATATTCCATCAGTCGCTTATTTAAGCATCCTCCATTAGTGACTTATTTAAGCATCTGTCATCAACTTATTAAAGCATCTTCTATTGGTATCTTATTTAAGCATCCTCCATCAGTCGCTTATTTAAGCATCCTTCATCAGTAACTTATTTAAGCATCCTCCATCAGTAAATTATTTAAGCAGCCTTCATCATTAACTTATATAAGCATCCTCTGTCAGTAACATCTTGAAGAATCTTTCATCAGTAACTTTTTTAAGCATACTCCATCTGTAACTTATTTAATCATCCTCTATCAGTAACTTATTTAAGCATCCACCATCAGCCGCTTATTTAAGCATCTTTCATCAGTAACTTATTTAAGCATCCTCCATCAGTAACTTAATTAAGCATCCTACATCAGTAACTTAATTAAGCATCCTTCATCAGTTACTTATTTAAGCATCCTACATCAGCAACTTATTTAAGCATCCTCCATTTCAAATATTTCATCAAAAGTTTGTCTCATTGAGTTCTAGCAAAGTTTCATTTTCATGACATCAGAAACTGGGTCATTAGGTCATATTTTTTTGACAGCTTACCATCATGGCTCACTAATCTATTTCTGCAAGCTTTGGATTTTTATTTTGCTATCAGAAGTATAGGCGAAAGGTTAGAAGTGTTGAATGGTTGTTGTTAGGTCTACAAGGCAAGAATTTTTGTGTTATGCTTTAAAAAATTTTAGTACTTTGACAGCTTTATGTTTTGCGTTAAGTGTGTTAGCTAGAAGAGACCATATAAAAGTTTGATGTAAGAAATAATGTTTGAATTCAAACCAGAATTACTTTAAGGCTCTCCTGAGCGTAAAGTGGCTCAAGTTGAGGTAAAAAAAGTTATTGGTTGTCTAGTGTCCGTCCAGAATTCCAAAATTGTTTCAAACAAGACAAATGTATCTTTTAGGTGATTTATGAAACATGTCATGGATATTATTAAAAAAAAAAATGGTGAGAAATAGGTGTGACATTGAGCTATAAAGTCAAATTGTTGAAATATCATAAAATTGGCAATAACCACAATTTTAACTTGACTGAAGTAATTGACATGATATCTAGTTGCAGATATTGTAAGAAATTAAACCTTGACTCATGAATGACCTTGACCTTCAAAGTCTGTTCCTTGAATGTTGATTAAGTCATCTTTAACATTGTTATTTATTGATGTATTATATTAAAACTGTGACATGAAAGCTCTAAAAATATACCTTAAAATAGGTCATATTTACTCAAAACACCTAAAATTATAATGTTGAATGGCCTTGTGCTTCATATGAGCTAGACTGTCAAGGCCAAATCATTTAACTTTGTTAAAATTACCATAACTTTGTTAATAATATACAAAGTTGGTTCATACTTGAACAATATTTTAGACTGCTCATCATGTGAAGTTGTTCAAATATGACCTTGATGCCTAAATGACTTTGACATTATTTTTACATTAATCATGTGTCCACTAAGCTCAAAGATAAATGTTATTGTAGTTGTTACTCAGGTGAGCAATGAGTGACATCATGGCCCTCTTGTTTTCGTTTCTATGGTTTTAGTTTTTGCCTATTGCCTACTTTGAGTTAATGCATGAAATATGTTTGCTGAAATTTTTGCCTGAAGTTACTGAAGTTTTTCTAGTGCTTAAACTTTTGCCCTGCTTGATTTATGTTACTGACTTGCCCTGCAAAATTTATGAAGTTGACTTGCCCTGCTAAAATTTATGTGATTGAATTGCCCTACGAAATTTATGTAATAAACTTGACCTGCAAAATTAATGTAACAGATTTGCCATGCAATATTTATGAAACAAACATGCCCTGCAAAATTTGTATAATTGACTTGCCCTGCAAAATTCTGTGTAATGGACTTGCCATGCAGATGTGTTGTAATGGAGGACTTGCCCTGCAGAACATTTATGTAACTGATTTGCCCTGTAAATTTTTGTGTAACAGGTTTGCCCTGCAAAATTTATGTAACAATGGAGGACTTGCCCTGCCAGATTTTGTATAATGGACTTGCCCTGCTTTGAATGCGGAGCTGTTCATTTGTACATGTAGTTTAAGAAATAACAAAACTAACCAGCCAGCAATATTGAGTCTGATCAGACTGTACAGTGAATGCTGTAGTGATGGCATAGTAATCCCATTGTCTAGAAGTCCAGTATTGAATGGGTTATATATATGTCCGAGTGGTTAGCATGTCAGACCGATGCCTTGGTGCGAAAGGGTTGTAACTCATAATTTCACCGAAAATGGTTTTATGGTATTTTTCAATGTAGGAGCAATATACACACATGTTGTAAAAATATTGAACTTGAAAGCTAAAATTAAACTACAAAAAAGTATATATGTCCAAAGGTTGTAACTCAAACAGACATATTTTGTTGGTGCGAAACGGTTGTAACTTAAGTTACAACCGTTTCGCACCAACATTTTGAAAATATTTTTAATAAATCCTAGTGCAAAACAGTTGTATCTCAATATCTTATATCATATTCTGTGAAATATTTAGTGGATTATTTCTTTCAAACTAACTGACAACTCAGCTTCTGATTCCTTGTTATTTACATTATAAATTGTTAAGCTTTCATTCAGACATAATACAAGAATTTGAATAACTTACACATATTTCAAACATAAATCAATTCCAATGCTTGTTAAAGAAACAATATCATAGTACATTGTTTATTTGACTAACAGTACTGTTATAGTGATTTTTTTTCATCATAAAAATTGTCATTGGTATAATGTTGCATTGTTTGCAAAATAGCAAGAAAAAGTAATGGACTTATTTTGATTTTACGAAAATGAAATTACCATAACTCAAAATAAATTTATTATACAATATATTATGATTGTATCATAGTTCGGAGACTTTTGAAAACACATCAGAGTTAAATTGCATACCAATACATGCACATTGCTTTAACTCACTGTCAGTCTGGAGCTTGCTTGTTAACTGGTTTATTTTTTCTGGTTTTTACATATTGTGACGACAGGGAAGGAGATAACAGTAGAAAAGTCATATTCAAATGCTTATACATTTTGGTACTTTTTTCTTGGATGACTGGGAATGTGTTGTTTTTTTTGCCTAAGATACAAAAGAGAAAGAACATCAAAACAATCGACAATCTGATTTATACTCTCATACAAATCCGACAGCCTCGTGTTTCGATGCTTTTTTAATTACTAAATATTAAAATAACTTAAAGAATTATACAATTATTACTCAATTCTTGATTTGGTTTTAAACTTATATGAATAACTTTTATAACTTACATGATTGTATTACTATTGAAATATTTTCATGTTTTGTCAAAGACAAATTGTATAAATATTGTACTACAATTTATTTACTTTACAAGACAATCGATGTCTGACTAGATATGTGAACAATTTTTTCTTTGACAACATATTGTAAACAGTAAGTTTAGATACATATACATATGTATAGACAAAAGTATTACATGTATAGACAAAAGTATTACAATATATTCTAACACGACCCGCATTTTTCCCTATTGAACATAGAAAAACCGAAAGTGTGTGTTATTATGCAATAAAATCACTGTTTGACGTTCTATATTTAGACATGTGACGTAATCATTATACACGTGACGTAACCACTAAAAATGTGACGTGCTGACAATAAGTACGGAAACAAATAAAGCGCAATTTAGCTTATTACCATGTACGGCAGCATTTATTTGTTGATGTCGTGTTAGAATCGAAATAATATATCCAAATCGGTGATTTTATTGCTTGTCGTTCCGATGCGCATCATTATATCACTCGGGCTACGCCCTCGTGATATAATTCCCCGCATCCAAACTCCAAACAGTGATATTATTGAGCAATAAAATCACAGTTTGGGATATATTATTTTTTAAACAAAGGTGTTTATGTGTAGATAATTAAGATAATATATCCCAAACTGTAGATTTTATCGCTCAATAAAATCACTGTTTGGAGGTCGGATGTGTGGAATTACGAGGGCGTAGCCAGAGTGATATAATGATGCACATTCAATCAACAAACAGTGATTTTATTAAGTGATAAAATCACCAATTTGGATATATTATTTTGATTCTAACACGACATCAACAAATAAAATTTTAATGCTGTACCTTATATTTAGCTAAATTGCGCCTGATTTGTTTCCGTACTCATTTTCAGCGCGTCATTTTTAGTGGTTACTTTGCGTGTATAATGATTACGTCACATGTCTTAATATAGAATGTCAAACAGTGATTTTTATTGCATAATAACTCACACTTTCGATCTTCTATGCTCAATAGGGAAAAATGCGGGTAGTGTTTGAATATTAAGTAAAATATGTTATTGACCCTTTGTTTAAGAAATAATATATCCCAAACTGTGATTTTATTGCTGAATAACATCACTGTTTGGAGTTCGGATGCGGGGAATTATATCACGAGGGCGTAGCCCGAGTGATATAATGATGCGCATCCGAACGACAAACAGTGATGTTATCAAGCAATAAAATCACCGATTTGGACATATTATTTCGATTCTAACTCGACATCAACAAATAAATGCTGCCCCGTACATGATAATTAGCTAAATTGCGCCTGATTTGTGTCCGTACTTATTGTCAGCGCGTCACATTTTTAGTGGTTACGTCACGTGTATAATGATTAAGTCACATGTCTAAATATAGAACGTCAAACAGTGATTTTATAGGATAATAACACACACTTTCGGTGTTTCTATGTTCATTAGGAAAAAATGCGGGTCGTGTTAGAATTTCTGTTAGATAAAAGTAAATTATCAGATATATTCTATCTGCAATTTAAAATCATTCTTAAAGATGTTAATCACTTCCTCAGCTGTATGTGTGTTTGTGTGCACACCTGTGTATTTTATTGGGGTCACAGGGGATTGCATTTTGTAATTGTTATTATTTGCAGGCCTTATTTTTTTCTCATTTAATTACTGACTGATTTATATAATAATAAACAATAAAATTTGGGACTGTAAAGAGTTGTAAGAATTATCAATAGCATGAGCTTAGAAGCTTAGAACATCTATTATCATCTTTCTCACACTTTTGGCTTAATAGTAAAGAAGATCCTGGATAATGCTTAAATAATATAATTTGTACACAAAAGCACATCCTAGAAATTATCTAAGTTTTCAAATTAAGAAAAGCCTATGTATAGAATAGATGTAAAATAAAATGAGAGTGTTCTCATTTTCTAAAGGCTTATATTAACAAAAATAAATGTATCTTAGATGGTTTTGTCATTATGTAAGTTTACATTTTGAACTTTGATTCTTGCAAAAACAAACATATTTGATACTTATGATGGGTTTGACAAACTGTCAACAGTCTGAACTGTGTGTCACATGGAGAAAATATTATATATAAGGTGAAGTTCTTTAAAAAAAATCATTTGACTGAAATTTTATTTTAAAAACATAAAATTTGAAGGTTTTTCACTGAAATATCCAGGCAATATGTTAAATTAGTTCATACTAAACACAACTAAGCTTGGATCTGTTCATTTGACCCATTACATTTATCAGAATTTAAAGCAAAAATTCAGTTAAACCCTTTCGCACCAAATCATTTTTTGAATTTTTTTATTTTTTTGGTGCGAAAGGGTTGTAACTGAAACTTTATCAATTATCTCTTTATGCTGACAAAATAAAATAACCTTTCCAATCAATTAAATATCAGTAAATGAATGAAAGCCAAAAACCAAAATTAAAGAAGTATTTATTAGAACGTAAAAGAATAAATAAGTTTTTTGTCTCTCCTGAATAATATCAAAATATTGAGTTACAACCCTTTCGCACCAAGGCATCGAGACTAATAATCTACGGTTCTCTAGCTGCTTGGATTCAAACCCCATCAGCGGCAAGCCGTTATATCCTTAAGCAAAAACCTTTAAACACATTGTTCAATACTGGTTGGTTCCAGGAATAAGTTCAAGAGTGTGTTTATAAGCATAAAGCTGCCTACACTATTAAGCCGAAATACATTCTGTATAAACTGAAAGGATGTCTTCCTCTCAGCTGTATAAATCATTTATGAATAAAAAACAGAAAGGTACATAAAATTAATTGCTGCTTCGTTTTTAAGCAAAAAAATCATTTTCTTTGTATTTTGATTTTCTTTTTCATGAATATGTATATGATTTAAATGTACAAACCATTTTTATTCAACACTCCCTGCACCTTCACCTGTATATTCTATAAAACTGTAACGATAAAAGAAATATAAATGATAAATTTTTCTTTGTCTTCTATGTAGATAATTGATATTGGTGAAAATGCAATAGTTCCGGATGATTTCACAGAGACTGAGATGAAGACGGGAATGTGGTGGCGCCACCTAGTGTCTGGTGGAGCAGCTGGTGCTGTTTCACGTACATGTACAGCTCCGTTAGACAGATTGAAGATATTGTTCCAGGTAAATGATGAAACTTACCGTGTATCGTTATGTTATTATAAATTATAATCCTCCTTTGTTCTACAAATTTATTGCCGTCTGCTTGCAGAGGGTTGAAACTGTGACACAAGAACTTGTGAATTTGATTAGATTACATAATTTCTGTTGTACTGCACAGGGGTCGGCTTTTGTTTGAAATATTCCATGAAATCAGCTTCATGTATGTTTCTTAGTTGTAAAAGGAGGGATACATACTTTTGGTTACGTAGAGAGAACGGCAGTAACCTAGTAGTAGACTGCTTGTCTTGTACGGTCAAAGATAGCATGTCAGGCCCCCGTATCCTGGGCATTTGAAAAAATGTGTATATTCCTGGCTTGGTTGGTACATATTGTAAGAGGTCAGTAAAGGCCAGTTGTCAGTATCGTGTGGCAAAGGGGATACTATGTAACATATTTCAGTAAAGTAACGCTATTAAGTTTTTCTTATGATGCTTATAAAATTGCACATACAAAGGTTTTCCTGAAGTTAAAAGCTTTTTTAAGCTTTTTTTTTGAAATGGTGCTAAATTCTTGATTTTTAACATTTTCTGACATTTTGAACATACACCCATGAAACTGTTGAACAAACTGCTTAATACAAACACTTTGTCATATTTATGTAGATGAATTCAAGGTATATATGAAATTTTTTCTTATCCTTTGTAGGTAC